GCGCTAAGGCGGACCGGATATTCGCTCCCGCGCAGCAGCGTCCTGATCACCAGCATACCTGCTGCCGCTATGCTTAGGCCAAATCAAATCAGCCATGCAGCCGTGCGAGCCGCGGTCGGATCCAAACATGGCGAAGCTGTGAACGTGGATGGAGCGCCAAGCAGGCGCTTAGCGCAGGGTCCCGAGGTTATTGCGGTGCTTTAGCTTCGAAGTGAAAGCGGGGAAAGCGCGTATGCGTGCGTCTCGTCTGATCATGCAGCAAGAAGGGAAGAGAGAGTGAGTGCATGGGGAGCAGCTAGGGGAGGGAGCAATTACTATACGTCCGGTGAATGCATGCTACGCCGAGAAAAGCCAGTCGTGATCTTCGGCACCGCAGCACAGCATGCAGTCACGACGCACGAGAGTCATTCACGAGCTTCAATGTGATGAGTGTGAATGTGAATGTGAAATGCTCCTTGAGTCTGCTCTGACGCCCCTCGCGGCACGATGGAGCGATGGACACCATGAGTGTATGCTTCTTCCCCTGCCCTGCTGTGGATGACAATGTCGATTCGATGCCAAGTGGGTAGATGCTCGGCGCGGCGCGTCTGACGTGCTCCACCAGGCTGCTTTGGATGTCGCGAAGGGCTACATGTAGCTAGCTTCGAGCAACTTGCGGAGGCACACGTGTGTTTTGGGGGCGCCAGGAGAGTCAAAGTGCAAGTCAAGAGTATTCGTGATTGTGTGGGCCAGCAGTAGAACGTGAACGTCCTTGTGCAGACCAACATCGCCATGATTTCTATGCTTTTGAGGTGCTGTGCTGCGCATTCCCCTGCCTGTCCCCAGCTGTCAAATCGGAATTTGAAATCTCTCGAAGGCGCCCCGCACTTCACGTCCGAACGACTTGTGACTGATGCGTGCCACGCAGCAGCTAGAATCGAGAGCCGCGGGAAGCGGCTAGTCGATGTTGTGCTCGGACTCTGAAAAGCTTCTGCCTGTCCGCCAAGACTGAGAATCTCGTTACACGCTGTGGCAGATCGTTTGTGAGTTTGGGAAGAAGCTGGTGCTGGACACTGTCTCCAATAGTTTCACGACTCTTGCTCGATGCGCATGGCACGTGAGTGAGCATTGGTCCCTCCTGAGCTAGCACGATCCGTCTTTCAATTGAAGCGCCGATTTCAACGTCGCTTACTTTATCCACCGCTGGTACGACCCGTGATGTGGTGGGGCAGCTGTGTATCGAAGACAGTCTCCTTTTGAACGCCTGACCGCTTCAACATCAGACCGTGAGCTGCTGGGAGATGGGGAATCATGGCGAGCGAGTTGGATTCGAGAGATTCAATTCGGATCACCATGTAGGTACAAATCACAATTGAATGATAAGCTTGGACGCTCGAACATGTTGAAGTCGTTGGATCAAAAAGTCTCGAGTCAAATCTTGAACAAGGTCGCACTGTGATAGATAGATCACGTGATATGACGAGCGCGCAGTCAAAGTCACGAGTCAGAAACGCATCGGGATCGAGTGGAGGGCGCCTGCCAGGCGAGGTTGACGTCAATGTGAATAAAGCTGTGGGGATGCTGCGCGCAAACTCCTTGCTTGCGAGGTACCTCTCGGGGTGTAGAATGTGCCCACGACTCTTACCGCTCATCCCTCCGCTCACTGCACGCAAGCCTGACCGATAGGCAGCTCGACCGAAGAGGAGGTTGATCCATGCATCTGTCAACAGACTTGAGACATACACTCCTTCATGGAGCGAATCCACATGACCCTTGCCATCGCGACACTTGAGACAAGGTGGCCAGTCGG